ATAAAAGTCTGTTAGAGAGTTTCTGGCTTGTATAAAAAATTACCTTCATGGACACTATGTAAAAGATTAACCCTGTGAATTCCAGCACGATTTAAAACGTTACCAAGGAGAAAGTTACAGTTAGAATTCTCAGGAGAGCCCATAAAAAAGACTTGAATTGCCTAAAGTTGAGGGAATTAGCTTCTACAGGTGAGAGAGAATCAAAATGATTTAAAAATATATGCGTATATATATCCATGAAAAGCCATCGTCATCGCAAGGTTGAAACCCTTATAGAAGAATTTTTGACTTGACTTTCTGTGAACTCCTGACGCCTTGAAAGGTAGCGAGGCAGATAATTAAGAGGGGAAAATTCATGGTTGTCTCTATGTAACAACCAAATTCGCATGGAGCTGCTCGCAAAGAAAAGAAATGATCTTTAACTAGGAGAATAAGTTTTCAAATCTAGAGAATGCACAAGTTAAATGGATCAATAGAAGCAGGAAAAACATAGTACTCCTTGGTTTCAACTCAGTGGAAACATTAGCATCTTACTGTTTTACACTCTTCATGAACGTGAATGGGAAGGGCGCGGAAATCCCAAAAGATGCATTTACCAAATTGCTTCTTTGTGTTTCAGATACAAAAGACGTTCAAGTCACATCGATATCAGGAGAAGAAAAACTGGAAGTTTGCAAGCAAACCTCACCAGGTGTTGACTAATTATCAAATTACAGTATACTACTGGTAACACAACTGGGAGATGATATTCCCATACTCAGAAAAAAGAATGCTTGAAACAGCAATTCGAAACCTTTATCGATGAGCTTTACGACATGTGCTATGGAAGCCATCAATTGAGATTCAGTATTGCAATCATCTTACAAATTGCTCCATGTTTCTTAGTTCTCCCACTACGTAAGCATTTATATACTCCAAAGCGTGACCTTGCTGTTCAACAATTGTCTTCGAAGGTCAGTGCTAATGTGCATTTCTTTGTACTCCAGCCACAGACGATTCAAAAGTTAATTGGACGCTATTTGAGCAGAAACTAAATGCTCACGACGACACTTCATCAGGTGAGAAAACTATGAAATCATTGTCTTCTAGCATTATCGCAAATGAGAGAGGATCCATCTAAAGTGAGTGAGTGAGCCGAAAACCAAACAAAAAACAAGCAAAACTGACTAAACAAAACTTGTGTCAAACTCTGCCGAAATATCCTACTACAATGATTAGAATTTCGACTTGACACTTTTTAGTGCAATGACCGAAAATGGCATGGCATATTCTTAAAGCACGGCAATAAATGTTAAAGATATATAGTGTCTTTTTAGCGTATGACTCAGTCAAACTCAGAAAAAAAAATACAAGGATTTTTCAAGTATTTTTCCATAAAGGAGCTGTCGTAGTTAATGAATTTCTTATTTCGGTGGATCTCATATCAAAATTCGAAAATATTGTTTTCGGACTTGTTGGCCGATGATGGTCATCATAGAGAGCGCATGCTCTTTACTAGTCTCCCTTTCGTCTTCATAAGCTTCAGACATCTTATGTGAAGGAAAGTGCGGTTTAGGTAAAAACCACTTAAAAAAAAACGAGCATTTTTAAAAAAGCCTGGATCGAGAATACAATATGGTCTTTTCCCGCTGTTTTTCAGACCCTCAGGAAAACCAAGTTCCATCGACTTCAGAGGCTACCCTGCAATTTGGTGACGAAAATTTAAGAGGTTAGAAAAGCAAGTAGACGTAACGTATTACTTGAAGAAGGAACTTAAAATTATTATTGCTGGGGATCCCGTCTCCTGCATCTATTCATTAGTTAATTTGGTTAGGCAGGGGACGTTAAAGAACCCACTCACGAGATTACTGTGATGTGGTCTGGCCTGTTTAATGGGAATTGGGGGGAGGGGGCATCTTCAAATAAAAAAGTTTCTTTCGAATGTTTGTAAACTGCTGATGCAGTCTGGCCAAAGTCCCCCGAAAAGTGTTGTGATGCGCATTTGATCATATCTTCATGTTAATTTGCGCAATATAAATATTAAATTATTA